GGAGGAGGTGGAGAGGAGGAGGAGGTGGAGGACACTCACGCTCCGTAGAAGCCACCGACGTATTCGTATCGCGTCGCGTAGTGCCGGTAGCATCCGGGGTCGGTGCGACACTGCTCATCCTTCCCCGCATACAGAGGAGAGGATGAGGAAGAGGATGAGGGAGGAGAGGAGGAGGTGGAGGAGAGGAGGAGGTGGAGGACACTCACGCTCCGTAGAAGCCACCGACGTATTCGTATCGCGTCGCGTAGTGCCGGTAGCATCCGGGGTCGGTGCGACACTGCTCATCCTTCCCCGCGTACGGATTACACTTCTCCTCCACCATCCCAAAGTCCTCACTGTACTTCCCGGCCACGAGGTACGGGAAACCTCCCTCACAACCTGGAAAGCATATAGGTACCAGCTAAGAAACCTTCATCACAACCTGGAAAACATATAGGTACCAGCTAGGAAACCTTCATCAAAACCTGGAAAACATATAGGTACCAGCTAGGAAACCTTCATCACAACCTGGAAAACATATAGGTACCAGCTAGGAAACCTCCCTCACAACCTGGAAAAGGTAGTTACCAACTAGGAGGGGGTAGGGGGAGCCTCCCTTACAACCTGAAAAACATATAGGGACCAACTAGGAGGGGGTACGTTTTCCAGGTTGTGAGGGAGGGTTCCCCTACCTCCTCCTAGTTAGTCCCTATATAATTATTATGGTTATATATATATATATATATAGGTATGTATATATACAGTGCTCGAAATAAGAAGAAAAAATGTGGTTGTCCTGCGGACAACCCAGGCATCAAATCAGGTTGTCCGCAACAATTTCTGGTTGTCCCAAAAAAATATCCCCAAATCTTTCAATCACATAATAATATCGTTAGAAAACACCCAAAAACAGTGGTGTAGCCAGGATTTTTTAACAAGGGGGGCCAAAAATAGCGAACTGCGCAAAATAGTGGATGACTTAATATTTTAATGGCTCCTCCGCCTCCCTCTCCACACCCTACGGCTCCTCTACCTTCTCTGCAATCTTTGTTTTGGGTGCCATGCGAAAAGGCGACATTTTTGTTCATTGTTCTCTGCTCCCAAGATATGGCGGTGTTCTCCCAAGTTCAGTGGCGGATCTAGGATTCCAAGGAGGGGGGGTTAAAAACAAGCAGGGGGTATGGGGGTCCTCCCCCAGAAAATTTTGAAAATGTAGATCGCAGGAGATGGTATTTGCGGCACTTTTGAGTACATGTACAGCCTTCATTCTGACTACGACTGATTCTCTTTTTTTTCAACTTTCGGATCAACATGAATCCCCACTGTTGTTTGTTTTGCATGGGCCAAGCCATCGGAAAATTCAAA